TGAACCGCTTGACACTCACAAAATTCAATTGACACTTCTAGAAACAGCATTCATGGAAGAACTACTCAGAGTATCACTGTCCATCAAAGTGCCCATTTGTTTCTCTGAAGAGCCATTAAAAACAGCTGTTTTAATTGCAGAAGTTCAAAAATAGCTAGAACAAAGCTCTCTCTAGATAGCAAAAATGTGAAGTAAAAAAAGGAATACACAAGAGACTGCAGAGAAAAGTATCTCCTGCTAAAACCATCCCTGGACACTTGCATGCATCCATTGGATAATAAAACAGAGGTTAGGAGAATGAGAGGAAGTATATTGGTCTCATCTTAATTGGGTGAAATTCATGCAACAGCACAAGCAATGGACAAGGAGACACAAAACTTGTCTTTCAATGCAGAGGCCATAGCAAAAGCCATAGTTATCTATGACTGTGAACTACAGATTTAAATTAAATTGTAATTGCCAACAGAAGCAATTAATTTGACCTCAGTATTCAATTCTATATTCAGTTATTTGATGAGTCCGTCAAAATGATTCATACATAATGAAAGAAAAACAAATAACACTAGATTCAAACTGAAACAATCACAAGAAAGTTTTTATGGAAAGAACATCAAACATTTCCAGTGAGTTCCTATAAAGCTAATTAATGCTTTCCAAATTCAATCTGTGTCTTGTTTATAGCATAATGGAAATGTGACAATCTCTCACTAATGATTCATGAAGTTTTGGTGTAGTAATACCTTGACTGATTACACTCTAATAAGTACTGTATGTTCTCACATTTGATTATGTGATACATATTATCAATATATTGATTATATTATTGTTTAAGATCAGATTTATAATTCTATCTCTGAAAATAAAATACAGACACTTCCAGTCATGCAGATGATAAGTTACATGTGTTTTTTCATTAGCCCAAAGAAACATACATACTGAAGACTTCCAACTTCAAAATGCAAACACAAAAAAAGACCTTTACGAACAATTTTATTCTGATCAGTTCCATTATGAAAGGCTGTAACAGGACAGTACAGGTATACTGGAAGTGCCCATGTTTGAGGTTTACGGCAGACCTCAGGTTTTGTCATGATTAGGTACTAAAGTAGTTTTTGCAAAAGCTATTGTATTTGAACACTGACAGAAACAGTATCGTCAAGATCTTGGGAAGTTTTCTGTACGTTCCCTTTAGCTCTCAGTAGCGTGTGTCACTTTGAGGCAGCAGACTTTTTCTTCAAAGCTCTAATTTAAGACATGATAAACCTCTCAGTTATGTTTATTGCTGCTGACTTTTAGCATTTGTAGTAACAGCACGAGGTCACGGAAAACACAGTAATTGTTTGACAGGTCAAAAGCTAAAGACACCTTTTTACAATGGAGAATTCTCTTTTTAACTAAAGACCTTCTACACAACACATGCTTCTTTATTACCTAAGACAGAGACACTTTTCCAGGCCCATGCTAGAAAGCTACCAAATCTAAACTCTCAAGTTTATCAGTTATCTACACTCATCTTCTGAAATAAAATAGCTAAAATCTGAATTGAACAAACAATGGATGTTATCCCCAATCTCCACATATCTGCTTTATACTACTTTCCCAGCAAAACCAATCTGTACTGACTCAAAGACGATACTAAAACCTAGTAGCTTTAAAAGGTGGATTCCTCTTCCTTCTCTGCAGCACTGGTTTGGGCCACTTGGCACCATTTGCTCCTTCTCATTTGCTCTGATACTTGTCTAAAGTGGTCTGTGGGCCACTTCAACTCACTCAGCCAACAAAAAAAGCCCTGCTTTTTTTTTTGTTGGAGAATTTTGTGCTGGACTGAATCAACTCACAGAAGGGTCTGCAAAAACACCATAGCCAGTACAAAGTAGGCAACATGAAGCAAGTGGGGTAAAGAATCTCTTTTCTTCAGTGCCAGTGACCTTTCAGATTAGCTCTCCTCTTTTGTAGATGCACAGCTTCAGTGTACTGCAATTGAGCTAGTTACAGGTCTGCCCACTGCAACTGTACTGAGGGCAGAACTGAAGTCTGCTCCGCGGTGCTGGTGCCCTGCTTGCCTGGGGAGCAGACAGGTACCTTCTGATGTGGTGACAGCTGGAAAATCAGTGCTCACCTGTAATAATTGGAGCTTAGGTCTGAGAGCTTTAGCTGCATATTGTACACAGCTTATGTTTCAAAGAAATTTCCAAATACATGTCTGCACATTTCTTAGGAATCTCACAAAAATCTGTGGAAATAGCACCAATCCTACCTGTCCCAGAAAACTGGGGCAACAAAAGTGGATTGGAACATCTTCCTTTTCTTCAATAGCCAAGGAACATTTTACCAAGAGTAAGAAAGACTAAATTATTTGACTGTCTAGCTACACATCTTTCAGTTAATCTGACTCTTCTGCACTGTCAGAAATGCAGCCAGCTACTCTCATCAAGCCTCATCAAGTAAACAGGACTGAGAAAAACAAGATCATAAAAATTGTTTTTATCTCCCCAATACTGTGAACACCTACACTTTATTGTACACATTCATTTTTTCTAAAACACCATCAAATAAGTAGCTTTTTTTTTCCTAGCTGTTGAAAGCTCAAAATTCTCAATTAAATGGGTTCTAAGGGTTTTTTTGCAAGTTAAAAATGATATAGATCTAAATTGAACTCCAGAAGTAGATCTTCACTACATAACTATCTATAAACTTGCATTAAAACATCTTAAGAAATAGGAAGAGGAACTCCAATAGTGGGAAAATACCTTGGAAAAAAGGGTTACATTTTATACTTACAGTGCCTAGCCTGATAAACTCATACCACTTCTGTTTAACTTCATGAAGAAAATGTTTTTGGTTTTGCTTTTTAAATACAAAGTTGGCTGATTTCACCTATGAGCTCAATAAAAGCTC